GGGGGTTTTGGTAACTTTTCCACTTAGCCTCTCAAATGTGTATCACATTTAGTCTTTTCCTTTATAAGACCAAGATCCTTTCAATCAGTGTTCTGATTTTTTTTCTAACTTGCAGATCTCAATATTCTCACTAGCTTTTGTAGTTAGTCACAAAAAACTCTCAGTAGTCCTTGCCAGGTCACAACAGCCAGGCAAAGCTTTTATATTTTATGGGGAATGCCCTAACCCTCTAAGGTACACACACACAACAATGGTTCATAGGAGCATATCTAACAGATGAGTTTTCCAGACCAGTGGCCCAAGCCTGATGCCCTTAGTTTGAAACAGGAATTTTCCTTCCCTTAGATGAGCTGCAGAAATAAATCATGTATGCAAACCCCGTATCTTTATAAGAGGTAATGGTGATAAAATTAAATTAGTGCAAACTCCTGCAACAGTTACGCTATGCTGTTTTAAAATGTGAATTTCATTGCTATGGCTTAACCCATTTGCAAAAAGCAGTGAAAAATAGACTGCTTTATATAGTCGGTGAAGAATAAATAAGACAAGCCACTCTTGAAGAACCTTAAAGAACACTTGGTGCGGCTGGGGAAAAGATGTGGTTAAGAGATATGGAGTGCAATCTCCACATCGCCGATCCTGGTGAAAACTGGCTGCTTGGTGCAAATCCAAAGAGCCCAAAAGCTGCATTCAGTTGTGCCAGGGGCTCAACAAGCCCTAGTGAGTCCTAGGCTCCCAGGTCTAAGTTACAAATGCAAAATGTATCTTGTAATTCATTCATGCCTGTAAAGCCATTCATACCCTGAGGTGGAAGGTGTAACAGAAATATAGAGCAATAATTTAAAAATAACTATAATGAAGATGTCACTCTGATGGATGATGTGTCTCATAACCAACCCTTTGAAAACAAATGATGAGCAAAGCCTTTAATGCCTATAAAATGTACTTTGCAATGGGAAACCATTTTTAAAAGACAATTTAATAACTATCACCTCCTTATAAAACAAATAATCCCATTCTCTTTTAATTTCCATTGATAGTGCATGTTAATTTTGAAATAACATAGTTCTAGACTCTTCTTTTGTGAAAAGTTAAAATTTATAAACACATTCAGTTCATAAAGTAGTATGTGCCTGCACTAATCACTAGGACCATCTACCCCTAGCACAGATAACACATCTTAATTCAAGTTTGTACAAGGAATTTCTATTAGATTTAGTAATGAAAGAAAGAACAATCATAACTGGCCACCAGGGTTTCCTAGTAGAAGTTTTCACCAAATAGAACAACGTTGGAAAAGTAGTAAGAAATGTATCTGGATGTGGCACTTTTGCCCTCTGATAAAAGTTAATAATACTGGCAAAGGTGGGTGGTTGTAGGGATCAAATGTAGAATCCCAGTCTGAAAAATGAAGCTCTGTGCTGGAGACCTCCACAGGATGTAGAGGCAAGAACCATTCCTCCCACAAGGTATTTTTGATGCTAGACACACTTTCCACAGATTACAGTGACTTGTAGATCCATTGCTGCAGAACTACAAAGAAAGGTAGTTAGCTGTGTTAGTCTGAAGTCAGGTAGAAGGCAGCCCATACACTTTACAAGCTAACTAAGTCAGAGATGCATATGCTTTTGTAAGCAGCAGCTTTTTAGATTTTTTTTTTTTTTTTTTTTTTTTTTTTTTTTATTTTTTAATAAAAAAAA